ACATGAAAAAAAGATGGTGCCTTCAAATGGCAGCTCAAAACAATGCTAAAACATGTACATTTGCAGTGAAACATTTTCCTGTTAAATGTAAAAGCAATATTTAAGAAGTCTGTTTTGGTTTTCAGCTCTTCATTTTGAAGTGCTCAGTATCAGGAGCATCGACATTAGAGTGACAGCACTTTAGGTAGAGACCGCAAGCAGCTTGGAGTGTCTGTTCAATAAAGATAAAGACATGAGACTGGTCGGGAAGATCAGGGGAACATGAAGAGGGTCTCTAAGCCGACTTGTGAGCTGCAGGGCCCCTACAATGGAGTAAATAACTTTATTTACTTCATCAAGAGGGGCATTGATGAAGATAGAAAAGAGAAAACCAACTGGGGCACCTTTTACATGATGTGCAAAGAAATGGCAGTCGCAGCTTGCAAGAGGGCATTTGAAAGTTGCTTGATATATAAATATTAGGGACATGAAATTTCAGGGAAAACAAAGCAAAAGCCGTCAGAAATGGTTTTAAATAAACAAAAGCAAGCACAGAAACCTAAATCAACTCCTGGGTTTGCAGGTGAGGCAGGAACAGCTATGGAGGATTAAAATATTTGTGTGAGGAAAGTGGCTACGTGTGTAGAAAATCAAAATACCGCATTCTGCCTCATGTTTATAAGATTCCTTACATTTTGAATGCTAGGTGTTTACTAGCAGGGAATAGTTTCCCTCAGACTTAAAGGCATGGTAGTGAGGAAAAAAAGGAGATGGCTGGTTCATTCAGCAGCTGAGCACATGTTTCTTAGATGTCTACTGTGTGCCAGGTTCTGGACTGAGGGGTGGCAGTCACGGAGATGAATGAGACGTGGAGCCTGTGTGGAGGAACTTGCAGTTGTGGTGGGCGGGGCAGACAGATCAACTAGGTAGACATCCTCATTACAGCCAGGAGGTCAAGCTCCAGGATACTGTGTGCATGGAGGTCTGGGGCTTCTCCCTCTGGGAGCCAGTGACCCCTAGAAGAAGTGGTTTTGACCTGACACATGGGCTGAGGAGAAGCTAGCCTCCCAAAGAAGGAAGTGGGATTCAGGGGGAGTAGAACTCTTTCTAGGAGGAAGGACCAGCTTGAGCAAAGGTCAAGGATGTATTAGAGTCTGATTTGGTGGGGAGGTGATGGGGAGGGAGGACAGGAGTCCTAGAAGCTCCCAGCAACTCAGTGGTATTGCTAAGCCATGAATCGCAAGACAGGAAGAATTCAGGGATCAGGCCAGAGAGAAAGATTTATTTTTCTTTTCCTCATTAATGCATAAATCCATCCTACGTTAATCCCCCATCTCCCCCCATGAGCACACTGTTTTTTAGTAATTACAATTTTAGTTTTATAGGTGATGGAGTGTTCAGTGTAAGCAGGCTGTTCTTTGGAGTTGGGGAAGCTCGTGCTCTCATGGGCTTTGTCCTCTTTCTACCACGGCCTGAATTAGGCATTGTGGTTGTGTCTCCAGCACCCATTTTGTTCCTGCCTTGTTGAGTAGCAGCAGTGAAGTTTCGGGGATTGCCTTTAGCTGAAGGTTGGCTGGTTTAAGGGTGATCCTATCTCTACTGAAAAGTTTCAGTTCACTAATGGGCGTGTGATTCACGAGAACAGAAGGAAGTTTGGAGGAAAGAATGACCAACCAAGCTGTTTCTTTTGCTAGATGAGAACCAGAAGCTTGTAGCTCGATGTGCCCTGAGGGGACCTAGGCTGTGGGTAAAGGTCACATTATGGATAGCAGAAGGAGAGATTTAAACATGTACATCAGAGTCCTCAATGACCCAGTTGAACTGTGAAATAGCTAACTCTGAGCTTTTGTCATTACTGAACTTCCTGTCCCAAAAGCTAATAAATTGTCTTATTATTTAATTCATTTTGGGTTTGTTCATCTGAAACTTGAAATTATCTGCATCCTACATGGTACTTGATCATTGTAATCTTCAGCAGACACCTGTATGACTTTTTGGGAAAGTCTTTGAGCCTCATTTTTATCTGTGAAATGGGTGTAATTATGTCTAACAGTGTTTCATGAAGGCTATTTGAGATCTAGCACAAAGCCTAAGGGCGGAGCCATGGACTAATATATGTTGAGTGCCTACTACATACCACATAATAGTCTGGTCCTTAGTTTTAGGAACATTAGGGACTAGGAGAGAAATATATGGATAATTTCATATAAAGTGGTATAAAGTGACATGCATATGGACCATTGTACAATCGGTTTCAGGTCATCCAACATTTGTTGAATACTACTTGTTCCAGGCACATGATCTAACATGGAGTGGAGGCAGGGATGGGCTGAGAAACGGGATTATGGGAAGGCATATCCAAAGACGTGGTATTTAAACCAAAACCTGAAGGAAGAGTGGGAGTCAGGTGAAGAATGGGGAAGATCATTTCAGGCAAAGTAACTTGGACAAAGTCCAGGAGGTGTGAAAGAACTTGGTGTGTTTAAGGAATGTGTGGTCAGAGTGGAATGAACAAGGAATAACATGGTGGGAGATGAAGGTGGAAAGGGAAAAAGAGGAGAGGTAATGCAGGGCCCTGTTGGCCATGTTAAAGGTTTCTAATGTTCTAGGTACAAAAGGATGCCATTAGAAAGATTGAAGCAGGAGAGTCTCATGTTCTGGCCTATGCACTTTTTCAATGAGATGTCAGGGTTTGAGTGGCAAGGGCAGTTGGGCTAGAGAAGTGGATGGGTTTGAGCAGCATTTGGGTTAGTGCTTACAGAATCTGCTGATAGATGGAAGGGCTGTGAATCATGGGGAGAGTGAGGTCAAGAATGACTCTTGAGTTTCTGTATGAGTAACGGGGGATGACTGGAAAACATGCATTGTTTTCATAGGAAAACCAAGGTTCAGTTCTGAACATGTTAATTTTATGATATCTGTGATACTTTGAAATTGGGAAGTTGAGTGACAGTTTTACTTGTGTCTGAACATCACAAGAAGACTTTCTAGGATGGAGTTGAGTGTTGAAGACACTGGTATGTTGATTTTATCAAAAGTGAAGGGAATGAGTTAAGGAGGGAATGGAAGTTGGGAGGAGGACACCTTAGCTCACTTTGTCTGGGAAGCCTTCTCTCACCTCTCAGGTGAAAAATATTTAGAAGCCCGGTAAAGAGAAAAGGAAGCCCTGACCTGGATGGGGAGCTAAGTAACGGAAGAATTTTTAGAATCACAGATGTTGGTTGAAGGGGGATAATGATGAGAAAGGGCAAAACTGAAGATAATTGGCTAAAATGAATTTATCAGTGAAGTAGAACCCTGAAGGGGATAGAGTGTGTGTGTGTGTGGGGGGGCGTTGGGGGGGGGGCATGGGTGATTTAAGGTCATGGCTTTAAATCCTCTTGACACCCAGGGAAGGACTTAAAGATGGGAATTTAATTTTGAAGGTTTGGCGATGCAGGAAGGTGAGATAACTTCCTACTAGAAACCTCAAAATACACATAAGCCGTGTGTGCATATACACACCCACACCCCCCACATCCCTGGTCATGCATGGGGGTCATTTAGGTAGAATGTTTGGCTCCCATAACATTCCCTGCTATTTCTTTGGTAATTGTGTGTGCATAGGAGGTGCTCAGTAAGAATTTATTAACTAAGTATGCCCAGGAAATGGGCTTTACATTTGATTTATGGGGATATTGATGTCAGAGAACGTGGAAAGATACATAAAATTAGAAGCCATTAGACTTGACTCCCTTGCACCTTCCACTCTGCTTTTCTTATCTTCCATGTAGTAGTCATCACTGTTTTATTTATTTATTGTTACTGAATATTTTGAGATGACATGGGTTAATAAAATTGTATAGGTTTCAGGTTACAATTCCATAATACATCATCTATATATTGTATTTGTGTGTTTACCACCCCATGTCAAATCTCCTTCCATCACCATTTATCCCCTATTTTTTAAGTTGACACAAGA